TGTGCATTATGTTTTCTAGTGACACAGTCACATAGGATTTTTCAGGAAAAATAATGAGCTTAAGGAAAATTATCAACAGGCTTTGGTTTATATATCATTATAAAACAAAAAAAGTGTGTAGACAATAAAAGACTGAGGTGAACTCAGAAGGAAAAAACCTGAGAGACAGAGAGATCCCAAGCTGTCCCCAAGAGCAGTTCCAGTATAGCAGTGAATCACCTGTCAGCTTGCACTTGCATCATTGCCTAAGACTTATTTCAAACCTATCCAATCCACCCATTATCAACAATACCAAAACAACTGAGGCTGGACCTTGGTATCTTACCAAATCAATCTACACATTCAATGCAATTCTCATCAGAATTCCAACACAATTCTTTATACACCTTGAAAGAACAATTCTCCACATCATATGGAAAAAACAAAAACAAAAAATACAAGCAAACAAACAAACAAACAAACAAAAAACAGGATACCTAACCAGCATAATAAAAGGACTTTGGGAAATATAAATATCTAGAATTTCTACTATTGTACTTTGTGCTATTGGTACACAAACAGATAGGTTGATCAACTGAATTGAAACAAAGATCCTGAGATAAACCCACACAACTGTGGTTACTTAATTTTTCACAAAGAAGGCAAAGTCATACAATGCAAAAAAAAAAAAAAAAAAAAAAAACTTCAACAAATGTTTCTGGTCTAACAGGAGATTTGCATGTAGAAGAATGCAAACAGATACATCCATCATGAACAAAACTCAATTCCAAGTGTATCACAGATGCTACTCTAAAGCCACATACACAAAATCTAATAGAAGACAAAAAGGTAAAATAGCTTTGAATGCTTTGTTGTTTGATTTCATACCTTGGAACAAGGGTGTGAGGTACATAATTTGCATACCAAAACTCTATGAATTTTTATATCGTTTGTTCCCCACTTCTTGTAATGTAAAAGTTCTAATCATAGAACTAAACATCAGTGCGATCATAACTTTCATTTTCTTGGCTTGATAAAGTTTGAGTAACATTAAAATCTAGACAGCACTTATTCTTTCTCTAACAAAGGTAACTATTCTGTTTCACACACAGAGGCCTATAGTCAGAAACAAAAAACAGAATCAATAGGGGATCAGCAAGGGAAAATATCAGAGTGGTCATCCACAGGGATCTGTTGAACCAACTTTCAAACCAGCTTTGTTGTGCTTCTCTGTTTCTTTGTCTTTGGTCTAATCTCTCTCTAAGCTTGTTCACAGAGTCCCTAATCACCCCGGAATGGTCTACATAAAAGCAACATTCTTTCTTGAGGGCAGCTTCAAGTCCACCTTATTGCACTCACAAAGCTATCTTATTAGATATAGATATATCAGACCAGCCCCTATTCCAACAACAGCTGCAAAAGCCAGAAGCACATTTCTGATGCTGCCTTCTAGTCTGTCCTGTATGTGGAAGAACTCTACAAACCCATACCAGCCTCTTTGTTTGATAAGCCAGTCCCGGTTCGTCCTTATAAGACCATCTGTGATACTTTCTGCTAAGGGTTCAATGTAGCTTTCTTGGTTTATGTTCTTTAAGTGTTTGGCCACAAAGGCACCAAAAGAAATAAGAGTCACAATCCTGCCCCAGTTTGTTACATCATCTTTGAAAACGTGGTCCATCACTCGAGAAAAAGATTTAACACCATCTTTGTTTTTAATGTCTAATTCCTGAAGTATGTCCTGAAATGCCGTCTCATGGTTGCGCTGCATGTCATCGCCCAAGTGCCGCAGGGTCTCTAGTGCCCTCTGGCCCACTGCACCAGCCTCGGCCAGAGGCTTCGAGTCCTTGGAGCCAGTCACCTGCTCCCACAGGTAGCGCAAGATGATCTCCAGTGATTGTCGGTGTAGATCATGCATGTTCAAGCCAATTACCTTGTTTCTCCATAGGCCAAACATGGTGGGATGCCATAGGCAGCTTGGTGGTGCTGAACTAGAACTGTGTCTCCTACTTGAAACTGGCGCAGCACTCTAGGGTCTCCGACCACGTAGGCCTCTTTCAGTTGTTCCCAGACCTCACGTTGGACCACCTCAAGTGCTTTCATGTGGGAAAACAAGGATTTAGAGAGAACAACATCAGGATATTATACTCAGGACCATATATCTATCTATTTCTTTTAAGTACCAGAGGAATCAAACATTTTACATTTTTGTCACTTTTAATTAAAATGCATAAGGAAAGATAAATATAACCAGTCATCCTGGAACTCCTTCTGTATGCCAGGCAGATTTTCTGTCTTACTTACTTACTTACTTACTTACTTACTTACTTAGATAGATAGCCAGTTAGCCAGTCAAAATAGGTAAAAATATAAATCAGCATAAATATCATTCACTGAGAATCACTGTCCGAAGGCACCAGAACCTAGAAGGACCCACCATAAGGTCCTGAGAATCGAGGATTTTGATTTAAACATAGATGGCTTTAGTTTGCCTCAAGATAGGTGGAGCCCCAGCAGCCCTGGAACTTTCTCTGGAGACTTGGCTAGCCTCAAACTCATGGAGGACCGCTCAGTCCCCCAAACAGCTGGACAAAAGCTAGACAGAATCTTGTTTTCTTCTTATTTATTGATTCATCCTTATTTTTTCTTTTCTTTTCTTTTCTCTCTCTCTCATTTTCTTTTTTCTTTTTTTTTTTTTTTAGACAGGGTTTCTCTGTGTAGCCCTGGCTGTCCTGGAACCTCAATCCATAGACCAGGCTGGCTTCAAACTCAGAAATCCACCTGCCTCTGCCTATCAAGTGCTGGGGATTAAAGGCGTGCGCCACCACTGTCTGGCTACTCCTTATTTTTTTCAATGTGTGTGTGTGTGTGTGTGTGTGCATGTGAGCGCTCTATCTGCTGCTTTATATGCCTACATGACAGAAGAGGGAACCAGAACCTAACAGGGCCTACCATAAGGCTCCTGAGAATTGAGATTTTTCAGGAAAAGTTCTATTGAATGAGTAGTGCTGGAATTAAGGGTATGTGCACCACCAGGACCAGCTGAACTTTTCAATAAAAAAAAAAGAAGAGAAAGAAAAGAAAGGAAAGGAGAAAATGCTTTCTATATGCACAAGCAATGGTAATTTGCTACAGTGTACCCCTTGTATAGTTCAAATTTGACTTTGGTTTATTGAGGAAATTTCACACAGTATTATCTCCAAAGAGGAGCCTACAGCCTCTTTGTGCAAAGTCAGTTGTTACCTGCTCTAAATTTGTTTGTTTGTTTGTTTGTTTGTTTCATAACCCAGGGGGCCCTGTAACAGGTCTAAACACAGTTCTCAGAGTGGAAAATGGATGAAAGTACAAAGTCAGAAGCACAGAAGTCGTCTCCAAGTGAAAACCACAGGAGAAGAGAATATTGTTCTTTCTCCAGTGGAGATTCATATATATATATTACCAGAATATTGTATAGAAAACACAATTTGTACTATATTTTTAAAAAAGCATCCCACCCCAAAGGGGAAAATAAAAAAAACCCAACAGCAAAACTTTCCTCTCTGCATATCCAACCACTCCAAGCTAGCAAGATAGTGTGAACTTCTGTCAAATAGAAGAGTGCATCGAATCACATTACAGATGGTTGTGAGCCACCATGTGGTTGCTGGGAATTAAACTCAGGACCTCTGGCAGAGCAGTCAGTGCTCTTAACCACTGAGCCATCTCTCCAGCCCTCCACGAGCTTTATTTTATTGAACATTCAGTAGAAATCATGTAAATATTGTCCAGATTCACCCTTAGAAATCCCTGAGTTGTCAGGGCAAGGCTGGGTGAGAGGGAATTGTTCCCTTCCTCGTGGGTTGTGTTATCAACTCCATTACCATTTTGAAAGAGCTAGGTATGAGCCTATTGTTTTCTTCAGTCAGTCGCCTGGAGCCAGAGCAAAAAAAGATAATGAATTCTCAGACATACACACTGGAATCCTCTCTCGCTGATTGATTTTATGCAAAAAACTTGACTCTGGAGTTACAGGGAATGTTGGCTGGACAGCAGATGGCAGCATGAGCCTGTGCAGGTAGAGCAGGTCCCAACCCCAACCCATCCCCCTGATGTTTTTTATCCTCTGTCTCTCTGTCTCTCTGTCTCTGTCTCTCCCCGCCCTCTGCTCATCTCTCCCCTCCCCTCTCTCTCTGCTCTCTCTGCGTGTGTGTGTGTGTGTGTGTGTGTGTGTGTGTGTGCCTGTTCAACCAAGGAGGAAATGGCAGACCAGTGTTTGACCCTTCTCTATAAGCCAGGCCACACCATTACTGACGCTTCCCCCCCTTTTTATTAAGTCTGTCTTTTTTTTTTTAATTCTGTTCAGTTTATTCCAAGTTAATCATATCTATTATTTTCCTTCTCAGTTTTTTTTCTTAGCTGAGTCAGGGGTCTCTGCACATAGACCTAGAAATCAGTACCTATATTAGGCCTGCCTTCCTCCAACACACTCACCCACACACCCCCACACACCCCACACCCCCACCCCACACACCCCACACACACGAGAGAGAGAGAGAGAGAGAGAGAGAGAGAGAGAGAGAGAGAGATCTATACGCCTCTGCCTCCAGAATGATGGGATTAAAGACATGCAGCATCACACCTGGCTTCCTGTCATTGTACATTTAGCTTAATTTCAATATTTATTCCTGTATGAGAGAGAGGGACAGAGAGGAAGAGACAGAGAGACAGACAGGGAGAATTTCATCATAGGGTATAGTTTAATTTCTTCACTAATTGTGTGGTTGTCTGCCATCATGTCACGTGTCACCTTGGGTAAGATAAATTATATTGTTGGCACCCATACCATACGACACAGGCTTACTTCCACTAAGCCATCTGATTTTCCTCACATCTCTGTCTTTTAAAAATTAGACTGGGGTGGGGCCACTGGAGAGATGGCTCAGTGGTTAAGAGCACTGACTGCTTTTCCAAAGATTCTGAGTTCAGTTCCCAGCAACCACACGGTGGCTCACAATCATCTGGCATGGGATCCAATACCCTCTTTTTGGCTTGTCTAAGAGAGAGCAACAGTGTACTCGTATATACTAAATAAATACATAAATAAACAAATAAATCTATCTTTAAAAATTAGACTCAGGAGCAACACCAGGCTGGCCTCCAAGGCCACCAGTTCCTTTGCTTAGTTTTCTTCTTAGTGTGTTCATTTGTTTGGATTGTGAGGGTCAGGGTCACACAGGAAAGAAATATCCAAAGCAATCAGTCAATCACCACCCTCTTAATTCTTTTCCTTGTCCCCCCCCCATACTTGTTATCCTCTAGATGACAGGGATGTAAATCCAATTTACATGTGGAGAATTGTAAGGAAGCTCTTCTGAGGAAGCTCTTCTGACCTCCAGAGTGCCCTTGAAATAGAATCACAAGAAGCCTTTGTTTTGAAATATTGGAAACCAAAGTATATGTATGGATTTACAGATGGGAAAACAAATAAAAAAAAAAGGAAAAGAAAAAGGGAAACAAAGAAACAAACCCAAACTCATGCCAACAGAGATTCTAAGGCAGAGTATTAACTGATGCCGGTTTTTATTGTTTAGGCTACTATTGGTTGGCTGATGTGTGTGTGTTCTCTTCTTAAACTCCTCTTGTATGAGCTGGACATTACTTAAGCTTACAGAAAATAGTCCATTCTTTAGATTGATCCCAAAAAGAAGAAAAACGGAGAGAGAGAGAGAGAGAGAGAGAGAGAGAGAGAGAGAGAGAGAGAGAG